TATCGGTACTGGAGACATTTAAAACATACATGTCATATGTATTATTGCTACATGAACATTATATTGCAGTTTTAGTTTCGCCAACTCCTTTTCTAATATGCAATAAGACTACAAAATGCGTCTATGATGTACTTTCCAATCCAGACGAGAGAGCTCTCTCCCCCGTCTGTGTGCGAGGGGGCGGGGCAGTTTGTAAAGGTCCCCTGACTGTGTTACAGACTGTCATCCTGGTTAGGTTACTCTGGGTTCTGTCTTCAGGACAGAGTGTTGGATTTTTTTGTTAATCGGATGGGACTTGATTGGATTCAATATTAGAGTAACTTTCTCGCTTGTGTGTTTTTTTTTAAATATATTTGGCCTTTGTTTATGTGTTTGACTGATTTACTCAAATAAAAAGGTTGATGAATTATCATCTAATGATTTGTATGATGTTTTATTTATGTTAAAGGTCACTTTGAATGATTTTAACTAATGATAATGTAGAAAAACAAATATTTTAAATTCGGGACGGTCCACATTAATTTCGGGACGGCTTCGATTGTATTTCGGGACGGTTCCGGGAGGATGGTGAAAAAAGTTAGTCGAGAGCCCTGCCGGGGACACATATTCATGTATAAAAGACGTACAAAAGTGCATTTTGCATGATAGGTCCCCTTTAAGTTGCAAGTGCATTGATGTGATTACGGAGCCAGAAACCGATGCACGTTTACTCGCGTGCGCGGTGTGTTTGTTTTACAACAAATGGCGAAGCAAATTAAGTTGTTTAACTGTGGGGTAAAAAGTTCGGCCAACCCGTCAACATCTCAAACGAATGTTCAAAGTGATTCAACTGATAAAGCGCAAGATGAACCCGAACAAAAGCAAAGAGGACATTTGTAAAGTCTTGGGAGGCGAAATATATAGAGTGGCGAAGTCCCTCCCCTTCCGGTGGACCTCCATGAGACCTTATTTCGGAAAGAATATGTATTGAAGTCAATGGAGAGAGAAAGATTATCTTTCGATCCCGTTTGAATTGTGCCACGAATTACACATATGATGTTTGTCAATTTAAAAGATAATTTTGCAAGTCAAAAAAAAAAATGTGTCGTAAAACTTTGAAGTAACACATTATTTTGTGTGAAACGCTCAATGAACTACATCTCTTGCACAACAACACACGTCACCAAGATGGCCGTCACTACTGTCTTGTCAAAAAAGTGATTGACTATCCTCACTATCACCACAATGAAACACGTCCAGAAGAATGTCATGCCTGCCTGCCTTCCTTTGATTCTCTCTGAACTGCCTGATCTTTTTAATGTTTAATGTCAACCATTTGTGCAGATAGCATGAAGTAGAAAAGATCGCCGAAGCTAATGTAGCTTAAATGGTGTATTATAGAATGATCACACCGGTGTGACAGTCAGAGTTCCCGTTAGAATAATTATTTGCCGGTCAAAATGTCCGTTAAAGTTTAAATCTTCTGGACAAAATTAGAAAAGTGCCGGTCAAAGGTCTTCTTTGTTATTTATTGAGCTTTAAAACAAATTGATATGATTCGATATTAAACAAACTAATTATAGTAGATTAATTAACTATTCAAAAGTGTACAGTAATTTACAATAACACGGGAATAATAAACTGAGTGCTCTCTCCCTCTCCTGACAGCCCGCCAGTATCATGCAGCTCGCGGATCCAGTAATGAGTGACCCGACAGTCAAACTAAACGTATCTATAACTAGTTTAGGTAGTTTGAGAGGTAATTAAAATAGCTACGTGTGATATTCTAACCTGAAGTGTGTTTTGCTCTGCTCACCGCTGCATGTGATCATGCAGAGCTGCATGTGGACTCGTCAGCAGCAGCTGATCTCTCTCTCCCGTCAGATTAGACTTTACTCGCGTTTATGTCCATATCGATCAGATCTAGCTAGTTCTAGCTAATGATACGACTACCTACTTATTAAAAGACACCTAAACAATAAGCGTCGCTATGCAAACGGGTGAAGCCACAAAGTATAGCGTAGCATTATGCATTTGTTTACATGCCCACCGGAACCCCGAGGCATTACCAACAGATCAACGCACAATCAACCCATACAGGACATCTCTTTCTCCACATTAAGTGTTAGACATTAGAATTGACTATTCTTGTCTGTCACATACTCTTTTGTCTGTCACATAGGCTACTATGCTTGTCTGTCACATAAGTGGCGCAACTGATGCAGTATTGCGCTAAAGGGAAATTATTTTGACCGGACATTTTGACCGGAGAGATTTAGATTTGCCGGTCTTCAGCATATTTTACCGGTCATAGTCCGGTAATTACCGGCTAACAGGAACTCTGGTGACAGTATTCTTCAAAGGGTTCACGAAATATGACTACTACTCTTACTGTTTAACATTTTGGGTTATTTAATGTTACTTCATGTTAAGGCTAATAAAAATTACAAGGCTAAGCCGGCTGTAATGCTAACTAACGTGCTTTCTTCTAGCTAGGTAGCTAACTTGATCCAGCCACTCCTGGTCCTTTCATCAGACGGGAAGCGAAAGAACGAGCAAGACCCATCGCTGGTATGATAACAACCTGGTACTAAGCACACAGGCATCTTGTTAAAGTTATCTTATCTGAGCTATCTCTATTTTAGTGGAGGAAAACAATTATGACATCAGTTATGAGTGACATCGCTTACGCGACTCTGGGATTTGTAGTCTTATATTTCAACAGTTTTACGACAAACTGTGACTTTTTTGACATGGAAATTATTATTTAAGATTGACAAACATCATATGTGTAATTCGTGGCACAATTCAAACGGGATCGAAAGATAATCTTTCTCTCTCCATTGACTTCAATACAAACCTTTTCCGAAATAAGGTCCCATGAGTCCCACCGGAAGGGGAGGGACTTCGCCTCTCTATTCTGCTCCGTTGTCCATTCACTTCCGGTAAAAGTTCCTTCAAAATAAGAGTCCCGATCTTATTACTACCAAAATAAAAGTGCAAAACGAAACTTTACCATAGAAAAATATTGGCATAAAAATATAATCACTTCTATAAAAAGGTAACACATTTTAAATATAGTTAGACATATTAAAGGTAATTTACAGCATTAATCATTCATATCTAATTCTTAACTGTGAATGGTTTTAATTTATTTAACATTAGAAATGTATTAGTCTGGCCAATCCAAGACTTCAATGCTGAAGGGCCAATGGATCTATGGTGGGGATCAGCACAAAGGTCAAGAAAACCCACATTTGAAAGGGAGACAGCGGATGACCAAGAAACTAGTGATCTGTGAAGAACATGACAACAGCTGCACTACTGGTGTTTTGTATACCAGCAATTGAGGGTGGACAAGTTTACTACCACTTAAGTTTCAAATAATTGTGTTAATTACTTATTGTGTCACATGTTCATTATTAAGTTGATGTATAACTGTATAGTATCTTAATTATTTAAAATATAAGGTGACTAAAAATGGCAACCGTATTTTCAGTTTTGGCGACCAAAAGCTGATACCTGGTTGCCAGCCTGGCAACCACTTTTAAAAGTTAGCGTTGAGCCCTGCTAGCAGTAAGGCCTGGGGCCTTGAGCCTACCACGTAGAGAGAGCAAGACCCGATAGCACTAACGTCCAAGACGCTAGTCGACGAGGTCCGGACCAGGGGTGTAAAAGCTTGCAGTCTTAGCTGTGAACCACCACAACTGCGTGCATTTTAAAGCCAAACTAGAGCTGGCCTCGGCTAGTGTTGTAAATAGCAAATAAATTGATACTGAATATTTGAAACTGTTTAATTTAAGTATGGTTCTCCGGATACCAGCTGAGCTTTCTGTGCGCTCTTATCTTAAACACAACAGTTTTTATCTTTTTATTAAAATTCAGATTCAAATTGTTTTAATGTCGATTAAATGTACATAAAAAAGGTCTTTAGCGTCAGCAAAATAAAACAACAATCACCATACGTAGAACAACATAAAGTTCACAAACAATATGCAAAAAAATGTTGCATCTTACTATTAAAGTGCTAAGGGGATTGAACTTCCACTGGAGTGTAGACCATTCAAATATAACAACAGAGCAGGATACTAAGTAAGTAGTATTAACTTGAATAAAATCATCAATAATTATTGCCCTCAATGTTGTCTGTATATACTGGTGGTATCACCAATGGTATTAAATATAAATATTTTTCAGGGTACTGTATTTAAATGAGAAATTCCAGTTTCATGACAACAATAGTCACGACGTACTGCCACAGGCAAGAGGGAAGCCAGCTCCGGGGATAGGTCCCAAAAAAGGGGTTCTTTCAAAACCGAGCGGCTCTCAGAACCTTTTAGAGAAGTACTGCTGTCACTGTGGATGAAGCGCTCCCCACTGCCCTGCTACTTTTCTGCAAAATAGAAAATGCTATATGGACACTTGGCGTAAGATGCAGATGAGAAAGTTTTGCAACTTGGAGTAATGCAAGTGTCAAGTGTACTTGACATATCTTAAAGTTAAGTATGTGGTTTATTTAACATCCGTGCATCATGCCGTGGCCTTATTTCCATTAAAATGTGATACTTCTTTGAGTTCACTTACATAAGCCTACGGTATGTCAGTTAGGTAAATGTCCCGCCGTGGGGGAAAGGCCTGATTAAGCAGCGGACAAAATGAGGTTAGATCTTATCCCCTCGGGGCATCTATTGATACAACAGCTTGCACCTGAGCAGCTAATGCTTCTGGAGAATATGTTTTCTTTTTATAGAGGTAGGGTCACATGTAAAGTGGCACTCTTCCTTAATCCCACAGTAAACACAAGCGTAGTGGAGACATTGTGCAACGTCAGCACAGGAGATTAGACCAGGGTGCCCCACTTCCCCTCCGCCGCCACCTCCCCGCTGATCACCCCTGCGATAGTGGTAGGGGAGGGATGCATCGTTGAGCATTTATGAAACAAGGGGCGGGAAGAGTCACGCATCGGAAAAGTACTTAAGGCATAACCACAATTTATTCTGTGCCCATGCGTTTGTGTAAAGCAGGGTCCCGACGCACTCTCCAGGTGCAGAGAGTAGGCTGAGCGTGCAGACATGTCCGGTCGTCCTGCTGCAGAGATGGTCGACTCACAGGAGCTGCCCGAGCTGCCGGTGAGTGTGCACACAGTTTAACACAACACAAAGTGGAGGGTTGGGGGTTTGCATTAATAACGTTCTCTTCCAATTGGTTTTAAGTTGTAACTGTACATGGTTTTCCGCAAAATGTTTTTACCTAAGTCTTACATTTCTGGTAAATCAACATTCTTTGTTTATTTTCACCTTCGTGTTTGAAGACAGGGAGGGTCATTGATGTCAAGCTTTCTTTTCCGAGGACGCTCTATAACAGTGCAATATTTTACAGTAACACAAAGAAGCAATTATTCTATATGTAGGTGTGTGTGTATATATATATATTTTTTAGGGATATTTAACTTTTATTCCTCTGTATTGTAAGAAACTGAATTTCGATCTCCCTGTCTGTATCTCACACACAGAAGATTGACAATAAAGTTGACTCTGAATAATATAGAAATACTCATCAACAAAGGCCAAGGACATCACATAAGATACATCTCTAACCCTTTGATTAAAAGGGAATCCTTGGTGTACTTTGACTTGTTTTTGCAGATTGTTTCCCTTCTTTTCAACAGAGTATTTAACAGGTTTAAGGTGGTTTTCTTATCTAAGAACACACATGATGAATTTGAGGAGCAAATAGTCTCTGGGTCTATTGCAATGTGAATGTGTTCTATATTTGTTCTCGTGTCAATAAAACATAAAAGAATAACTGACAGCTATTGTTCCAAAGTAATTACTGGGCTCAACAATTTTTAATAATTGGCACTAACTTGTTTGGCTATCGAGCTGATGATGGAATTAGCTCAGGAGTGATAGATCTTCCTTCTCTCCTCAGTTGAGAGTTGCAGCAGCGATCAGGCACGTTTTAGTATATCTATGATGCACTTTGTTCTTGTCTGATTCTTTTGCTTATTTAAAAAAATGTACTTTAGTGTTTTTTTTTTCTTGATATCTGGTGACGGGAAAGTATTTTTTGTATTGACCTTAACCTGGCTACGGGGCTTTTTTGACGATATGAACCATTTTTACCGAAACAAAACACAAGTCTAACACCGAGCCTTTGAATTAGCACTAAGCAAAAGAGTGCTAACGCACTTAGCACATAACTCACGATAGAAATATTTTATACTTCATCGGATCTGCACAAACAAGATATCATATGAAAACTGAGATTGCACAGATTCCAATGGTATAAGTATCATCACTGAGCGACCAAAACCCGCGGCAGCGAAGGCGAAACCAGACAACACACAACTTAGCTTTACGGGGCCAAAACGGCAAATACGTCTTACCTTTGCAGTTTTTCTGATCAAAAGTTGTGTTCAATGGCATTTAAACGCATATAAACGCTGCTGAAGGTTAATCCAATGTCTCTGTGTCACTTTGAAATGATTACTGATAATCCATCATCATATTTATGGCAATAAGCCTAGTTTTCAGAGCGTGACATAGCTTTTGGTTTGGGCAAACTGCGTGCGCATCACTCTCACTCCTCAATGGTAACGTGCAGATGGATTTGAGGAACTTCTATTCTATTGGTGTTAATCACCAAAATCGACCAATGGGTTCCAGAGAAATGGCAAATACTAAGGTTTTTTTTTTGCTAAATCTCTCTAAAAAGGTCAAATGTCACTTGTTTTGCATCAATCTTGATACAGGGTACTTATTATATGTTATAGTTTGGATTCCTAAAGCTTTTAGTCTCCTATCCCATCATTCAAGGGTGGTTTCCACTATAAGTAATGTGTTTTTTTTGGACGGAAACTATAATTTAAATTGTTTTACTATGTTCAATCTTAATTTACTGTAAAATAAAAACATCTATTGATTCTGACTTTTTTCCTACATCCAACTCACAGGTTTATCATTGCTTTGAGAAAAATGTTACCCCTTTTTTGAAGTGAAGATATAGTCATTTGTTCTGGGAATGTCATCTTCGAGCCTGAGACCTGAAAAACAGGCTTGGGGCTTAACTGGTTAAGTATTTCTTTCATAATGTGCTGGACTTTTTTTAAATATCTGATTTTTTTGGGCTACAGTATTGAGAAAGTAAGATGCATATCGCAGTCTTGAAGCAGCATATACAAATAAGCTATTTTTACCTTTTGTTTTGTGTGTTTGCAGGCAAAGAAGGCTAAGCTTGAGATAGACGGTGGACTGGAAGAAGAGCCGAGGTTGGTGTTCAGTGATTTTAGATCTGTTCTTTTTAACTGCTGCCTACTTATTCTGATGGAAAACCAAATCAATACAATAGACTATTCATTAAAAAGAGATTTTCTGCATGATGTCAACACATTTTACATCGAGGATTTGGAATTAAACGTTATATTATATTGCGTCCTCCCAAAAAAAGAATGAAGGATTTTTATTTATTTATTGTGGTTTTACAAATGAAAAGGTTGTTTCTCTCAGATTACTGCTATCCGCCTCGAGGATAAAGGGGCCTGCCTTTCTTTGTGTGCGGCAAGCAGGAGATTCCATTATGAACACTTTCATGGCGGCATAAATGTTGTTCTAAAAGGCACAGCACAAACGAAAATAGACTAAAGCAGAATATTTCGTTAGATAAGAACATGTTGTGAATTTTGGAAATGATAACAACTATATATTTTCAATACATTTTAGCTTTAGACTCGGGTCGTAAACAGTCCCCAAAATGGAACCCTTATTCTCCAAATAATATAATACTAATAATAGGAAAGAGTAATCCCTATATGCGATGCGACGATGCAGGAAGAACTGCTCTTAAAGGAATTAAAAAAAAACATGCAATTTTTTTCCAGTTTTTGACTTGAATATTATTTGTATTTTCCCAGTCATTTAGGTGAGCATAGGGGTCGGGCTGCTGTGTTGGGATCCTCCGAGCAGGAAAGCTCTTACTCTGCTCTGTCCACAGCCCAGCTTGATCCAGGTGAGTGGAACATGTGACAGCTCTCTAGGAATTGTTCCTGGATGGTACTGACAGTGTGTGTGTGATCGCAGGTGATCAGGAACAGTCAGACGCCGGCAGAGGAGCGGCACCTCAAGCATGCGGCGACTCCATGAACTCGTATGCACATCCTGGTACGAACAGAATCTGTCTCGGTACTAAAGAAGCACATTCAAGAAGGCTGCTCTTGTTTGTCAAACTAAAACTGTGTTTTTTGTTTTTGTTTAACAGTTACAGACTCAACGGCAACATCTGAATACACCCAACAGGTTTATCAAGGAAGCAAGTGAGTGCTCTGCATGAAACAAGTGTGATATGTAATCAGCGGTGATGCACCTGTTGCAGTATTCTTTTTTGACAAATTCTATTTTTTTTTTAGAGTCAGACTTTATGATTCCAATTTAATTTCTTACTAAGAACCTTCTTTGTAAGCAACCGCAAATATCTATTCTGGCTATAAAGGCCTTTCATATAGAGTTAAGTAAGTATTAATATGAATCTAAATCTATATATGTATTTGTACAAAATGATGAGTAAGTATCTACTAACAGTAATGTAGAGGTGTGTACTTTATTTCTTCTGCAGCAAGTATTGTTGTGCGGCTTTCCCTACACATACTGTCAAGACAAATGGGAGGTCTCGACAGAAGAGACCACTCTGAGCAGCATGTGTATGTTGTTCCTTTAACAGAAATCTTCTGCTTTTATGCACCCTTTTCTTTATAAAAGGTTCCTGCATCACCTCCTTTAAGAAATTAGATTAAAAAAGGGTTTAATTTGCATTAAAAGGTCTTAATTCTATCTGTTGAATATCTTTACCACCAGTAAAGACATTGGAAGTGGATTTAAAAAATAAATTCTGATCTTGCAATTTCAATTCTAATTCTTATTGACAAGATAATTTACCTGAAGTGAAAAACATTGGTTGTTCAACCAACATGCCTTCATTTTGTTTTTTTATGTTTGTCTTACATTTAGTCTGAAAGACTTTAAAGAGTTTTGAATCCAACTAGCCTTAAAGGTAGGGTAGGTAAGTTTGAGAAACCGGCTCGAGATACACTTTTTGTTATATTCCATGGAATGCTCTTAACATCCGGATAGCAATGTATATCTTAAGTGCTTTGACAAAAAATCCATAAAAAAATGTCATCTGTGGAAGCCGTAATACTGTAAAAAGCACGACCAATCATTTTTGCCAAACTTATCTCGTGCCCTCATTGGTCACGTGTGTGTTGGAGGAGGGGCTCTATAAGGAAGTGGCAGATTTTCTCCGGTTGCGTATTTTCAAATTCTAGCGATCTCGAGCCGGTTTCTCAAACTTACCTACCCTACCTTTAAACTATAGGATTCTATTATAATTCCTGAATTACTTCCAGGCCTGATTTGCATGAACCACATTTAGTCTTGGCCCCAATAATAGATCCAAGGCTTTCTTGGTTACTGCCTATTTGTGGTATCAGTATGTTGAGAAAAATGTTATATTTACTAAGATGTCAAGACCATGGGAAGATTGACACCGCCACAAAGCATGACATTTAAAATGTTTTGTTAAAAGATTATTAAAACAAGGCAATAACAAAACAATGATAATTTTCCTTTTCTTATTCGCAAAAATGATTTCAACTTGTTTTTACATGAATGAAAAACAATCTTAAACATTCCAAAGAAAAAAGAAAGCCCAGGTAAAAACAGTTGGCGCTGTGGGCGCTGTAGGAGAGAAGAGAGCAGAACACGTTGTTGTAACTGGTGTTAAGATAGTGAGAAAATGAGGATTGAAACTGTCTCACATATTAAGTAGAGATGTATATATTTTTGACCACCTGCAGGTTTGCCTAGTTTGATTGTACTGATTTCCTCTCTTTCTCTCTCAGCCCATCAGTGACGTCATACACCAACCAGGTGGCCTTCCCTCCTCTGGCCCAGTCCACTGTGTACTCTGCCTTCCCTCAGACAGGCCAGACCTACGGCCTCCCGCCCTTCGGTTAGTCCCGCTCTTAGTCTAAAGCCTATTTTAACTCTCTACTCACTAAAAACCTAGCACCACCTTTTTATTACTCTGCTTTGGCGCTCTGGAATCAATTTGCTTTTGATCTCTGCCTAAACATCCTGACTGAAGGACCTGGTTTCTGAACTTTGATCCACTCCTCGCGCCGCCTCCTTCATTTTCTGCTTCCATTGCTCTCTTTCCTCTTCAGGTGCTATGTGGCCAGGCATTAAAACTGAGACAGGGCTGCCTGAGGCGCCCTCTGGTGGCCAGCCTGGGTTTCTCAGCTTCAGCACCGCATATACCTCCACCCAGCCCGGCCAGCTGCACTACTCATACCCCAGCCAAGGCAAGCCGCAGCCTCACTGTCTCACAACATAACGCCTTCGCACTCTCTTCAAACACTGGAAGCAATGAAAACTCTTGCAGCAGCACAGCTCTGTCCTCCTCTCTTGTTAATCACTTTATATACTTTAACTTTCCTCTGGCACTGTTTTACTTAAGCTCTCTCTATCTCTAGGCTCAAGCTTCACAACATCCAGTGTGTACTCCAGCATCCCTTCAGCGACAGCCGTCACCACAACCTCCCCCACAGTGGCCCACCAGGTGAGGACAAGACTCTCTCTGTGTGCTAATGTTCATGCACTCATGAGTGCAAGAGTAGGACAGATTTGTAAAAAAAATATATATATTCATATAAACATAGGAAGTTCAAGTAATGGGCAGCAGACAGCTCAACGTCATAAAGGCATCCTGGGGCTGAAAAAAAAACAATAACAAAAAAACAAAGGTGAAACTAAGAATTTTGCAATAAAACGATTAAATACAGATATTTATGTAATCATAAGGAGTTAAGGTAAATTGTCCAATAAAAGCTATAATAAAATAATATTTAGAAAAGTGCGATAGTCAGACGTTCTCTTTTTGTTAGGACACACGGCATTACTGTGTGTGTGTGTGTGTGTGTGTGTGTGTGTGTGTGTGTGTGTGTGTGTGTGTGTGTGTGTGTGTGTGTGTGTGTGTGTGTGTGTGTGTGTGTGTGTGTGTGTGTGTGTGTGTGTGTGTGTGTGTGTGTGTGTGTGTGTGTGTGTGTGTGTGTGTGTGTGTGTGTGTGTGTGTGTGTGTGTGTGTGTGTGTGTGTGTGTGTGTGTGTGTGTGTGTGTGTGTGTGTGTGTGTGTGTGTGTGTGTGTGTGTGTGTGTGTGTGTGTGTGTGTGTGTGTGTGTGTGTGTGTGTGTGTGTGTGTGTGTGTGTGTGTGTGTGTGTGTGTGTGTGTGTGTGTGTGTGTGTGTGTGTCATCATGCAGCAGATACAAAAATTCACCGGCAAACTGAAACAGATATTTAAGACTGATATTCAGTCGCCGATTGATTGGTGCATCTCTTATCATATTATCTTAAATCTGCAGGTGATCTACGCATTTGAAGATTAACATTTAACTTTTAAAAAAAATATATATATATATAATTAGTTAAATGTATTTATTACTATTATATTATTTATAGGGCTGTCAAGTTAACGCGTTAATAACGCGTTAACGTGAATTTCCTTTAAACGCCACTAATTATTTTAACGTGCGATTAACGCATGTGTATTTGTCCTCGGCCGCCCCGTAGTTTGAGAGCCCAAAGGCTTGTTGTTGTTGTTGTTAGTTGGATGGTGGGAGATTCTAGCGAGAGATATGGATACAAGAAAAGGTGTTTTAAACAGCAAGCCAAGCACACAGCTGATGCTGACAGCGCCGCTCCTGCCGCTTGCTTGCGGCAGACCACGCTTGAAAGTTTTCCGGGGAGACGACTGGACACAGCGTCTACGAGCAGCAAGCTTTCAACAGCGATAGCTAAATGGGTGGCGGTGGCTACAGGTTGCAGGACAATTAACATTGTGGACGAGGGACTGTGAGATAATTCGGATCGCATCCAACATGTCGACTGCACATCACAGCGCATTATTTTGACCCACAGTGGGAACTTCAGTGTCATGCTTTGACTGTTATGAAGACAGAGGAGCGGCATTTCACTGACAACTGTAAACAGGCTTGTCTGTTTGAGCAACTGGCTCAGTGCAAAGAAGTAGACAGGGTTGATAGAGAGTGTAAGAGAGAGAGAGAGAGAGGTTCCAGGTTGTTGTGTTGAGAATATTCAGGAGAATATTTGTCATTGTTCAAATGATAATAAACAAACATTTGCATAAAGCATATTTGTCCACTCATATGTTGATAAGAGTATTAAAAACTTGAAAAATATTCCTCTAAGGTACATTTAGAACAGATAAAAAATGTGCGATTAACTATGATAACCAGATATGAGTGAGCCACACCACCACGCATGATGTTGGATACACACACTACCAGTGATACAAAAACAAATTCCACAAATAAAACATTTGAATACGTTTTATTGATTAAGTTAATTAAAAGCATTTGAAAAGCATTTTGTTACAACATTTAGAACTTTCAATCAGGCATTTCTGAATGCAGTTTGTATTTGTGTCGCAGTGAGACAAAACCCTGCACTGCGGGAGGGGGCTCTTCTCATCGGAAAGTGTCATTCGTTTGTATATTTGCCAATCAGATTTATTTTTGCTATTTGTATTTTTGAGTTTACAAATCTTTTTTTGTGGAAGTCTCTCTTATTGCCACAGAACCTGAAGACATTACTGTTATGGTAAATAATAGGAGAATTGTTTGTGTCTCCTGTTGATCACGTTTGCTTGTTATATTGTGGTGCAGGAGTTCAGCAGCTACACCTCTCTGGGACAGAGTCAGTTCTCGCAGTACTACGCTCTGCCTCCCAGCTACACCCCCGCCGGGCTGCCCAGCAGCGAGGACCCCGGGGCCGCTTTGGGAGCGGCCGGATATTCAGCGATAAAGTCAGAGCAAGCCGCCTCTGCAGGTTTACCTCCCAGAGGTAACCTAATAACTGTTATTTATAATATTATGATATAACCATAGATTGTGAAGACACACCCTGTTGTAAAAATCAACATTCATTATAGTCATATTGTTACCTTGGACAATGTCTTCCACCCTCTCCATGGCATGCTGGTCCGGCACAGGAGTCCCTACATTGGAAGACTCATTCCACATGGATGCACTAAAGAGTGACACAGGAAGTTATTCCTGCCTGCTGCATTCAGACTATTTAACTCCTCCCTCAGAGCGTCAGGCACTCTGAGGCAATAGTCTGGGACTGGAACTATTTCAGCATTAGCCCTCTTAAGCTGTGAAGTTCAGCATTCATATTATTAATACACCAGTGTGTACACTCACCGGCCACTTTTATTAGGTAAACCCTACCAGTACCAGGTTGTACCCCCTTTTGCCTTTAGAACCGCCTTAATTCTTCGTGGCACATACTCAGCAAGGTGCTGAAAAAAATCTCTTCTGGGTTATATTGCACTTATTCAAAGACTTGAAATCTTCATTTCTCTTTTTGACTTCAGATGTTGGTTAAAACACGTCAAAGTTAATCATAATACACAAATGACATATTTCCTGTGTGCACGATGTTTCTGTGTGCACACATTTAGCAAGGGAACTGCATCTGAAAGACTTGTAGTTAAATAATGTCGGTTGCTGCATATGCATCTTCCTGAGGGCAGTTATATTAATTAGTTGAAGAAAATAAAAAGGCATGCATGGGACCAGACACAAGTTGTGCAGTCTTTGGTCTATTCAGCATTTTATACTGATAATACATCCGAGTTGTTTCCCACTTTACCAGCCTTGTTTGTAATTCCGACTAACTTCAGACTTTCCTGTATTAAGATGCGTCCCCTCCAGAGAACCTCCCAGCTGGGGCAGCCCTCCCCACCAGTGTGGCCCTCCCCCCCGGAGCCAGGGACCAGGACGAGGTTGGACGCAGGAACTCAGTAGGCAAATCCAAAGGGAAGGGCAAGAGGCCCGACAGCTCCCCGCCTGCTGACACCGACCTGGAGGTAACGCAGGTGTTTACACACATAAACATTGAGGGGTTATTCCCCTGGTCTCTAGCCTCGCAGCATTAACAGTTTAGCCACAACCAACAAATCACGCGATGCAACACACACATGAAAAATATTAATATGATTTAGTAGTAAATCTTTTCTTCTGTCAAATTAAAACGTGGTATGGATAGACAACATTTTTTCAAAGAAAGTAGCGGTGTACTTATATCACAGCCTTCACATAATAATAATGATATCTTATTATTAATACTAGGGCTGCACGACTTTGAAAAAAAAACCTTATTAGTATATGTTTTGACTGAATCTGCAATATCGATTATGATTTGCGATTATATTAAATTGTAATGGTGTGCTTTATTTATTTTATTTGAGTTTAGTTTTTTTAAGTCTGTAGATTATGTAGTTCATTCATGTTAAACAAAAAAGAGACAAAATGCACAATATTCTCACTGTGTAGCAATATTCTAACTATATTTTATCTTATCAAATATTCTATAGATATTGCGATCATCCCCATGTTTTCCCAAATGTTTTGGCCACAATAATCATTTTGTAAAAAACTGATATCATGATTGCCAAAATGCTAAGTTTAATTATACTATTTATAATTATCTTTCTCTGCTCTTTTTAGCGCATTTTTCTCTGGGATCTGGATGAGACCATTATTATATTCCACTCACTGCTCACCGGATCCTACGCACAGAAGTTTGGCAAGGTTTGTTTCAGTCAATAAACTCAATCATACAAAATAAAAATAAAAGGTGCGAAATATTTATTGTGTGTGTACTGTGTGTTCAGGAACCAGCCACAGTGCTGAACCTGGGCCTGCAGATGGAGGAGCTGATCTTCGAGCTGGCAGACACCCACCTCTTCTTCAACGACCTGGAGGTACAGTCAGATACGATCAGGGTGGTGTCGTCATGAAGCAGAAAGAGTTTTCACTTAAGATGCATTAGAAAATGCTCCTAATTGTATATTACATTTCCTGACCTCCTTTTTAAGATCCCTCAGTTCTAGAGAAACTCATTCACAGAAGTTACTTTGAAAAAGTTGAGTACACATGGACTGTCAATCAAAACATATTCAACTTAAAAGACTTTTATTGTGCTGCACTGATATTTTTTTTTCATGCTTCATTATGCTGCACTAACTAACGTTAATCATACTATAGTAGAATTAGCTTCTAGTGTTGTTTGCATAGAGTTGAAGAGTCCAAAAGTCAGCATTTCTTCTCAAATATTCTGCTATAATCCATATTTATTGTTTTTGGTGTTTAGTATATTAAAAACAACATCAAATGACAGACATTTAAAGCTCAATTGAAAACGTCAATAGAAGCTTTTGAATGTAATTACAAGACACTAAGTAAAGCGATGAAAAATACCTCTTCTCATCCAACAAAAACTAAAGATCCAACTCATCTCAAGCGTATACATTATTTGTATGACTTTTCCAGCTGCATGTGATTTTTTAAAGTTTTTGTTAAAGTGAAACAAAAGGTTTGGTTAAAAATAAAATGATATTGCAATTTGTAAAAACATTTTTTTATCTTCTCCCATTTCCTAAGGAATGTGATCAAGTCCATGTGGAGGATGTTGCCTCTGATGACAACGGACAGGAGCTGAGGTGTGTTATCCTGTAACTTCATATATCACACACATATTGGCCTTATTTCACACGTATGACTTGGAGGCAGATTATGTTCCCTTCATCCAAACCAATCACAAGTGTTTCTTCCTACTTCAGTACCTACAACTTCTTGACGGATGGCTTTAACGGGGCCAGTGGTGGGGGGACGTCAGGAGGCACCACAGGGGTGCAGGGGGGCGTGGAGTGGATGAGGAAACTGGCCTTCCGCTACCGCCGGCTAAAAGAGATCTACAATAACTATAAAGGGAATGTTGGAGGTGGGTTTGAATCAATAATACTATTTATGTTATGTGTTTGTATCTGCAATTTGCACATATAAAAACCTGATAGGAAACTCCAAAAATATATAAAAGTCTTGAAATATTGCAAGATATCATCAGAAGATTTAGGAAGCGCATTATTGCAGTCATTTTTAAACACATTAGTGTTAAATGTATGTTTTTCCTGATACGCTGGTAGTAATATCTACATGAGCTTATATTCTGCATGTTGTGTGCTGCAGGCCTGTTGAGCCCGCTGAAGGGGGAGCTGCTCCTCCGGCTGCAGAGTGAGATCGAGAACGTTACAGACGCCTGGCTCAGCACGGCGCTCAAGTCTCTGCTGCTCATCCAGTCCAGGTCAGAACACAGGTCATCCTTTCAAATAGAAATCTTGAAGGCCACACTCAGCGGCCCAATGAGTAACGTGTGCCCTAGGTTTGGCTAATAAGATTAGGTAGATTTTACATTACAATTAAATGTACTAGGTGTTTTCTCAGCAACCCAAATAAGTCGTTTTAAATGATTTATTCAGAAGATTATGGATTCCAAGAAACTGTTTTAAAAGGAAAACAATACATATAAGCTTTGCCGTGTTAAGATAGATGGATAGATAGATACATACTTTATTTATCCCAAATCCAATGTGTGTGTGTGTGTGTGTGTGTGTACCAGGGGGAAGTGTATGAATGTGTTGGTCACCACCACTCAGCTGGTGCCAGCTCTGGCCAAGGTGCTGCTGTACGGCCTGGGAGACGTCTTCCCCATCGAGAACATCTACAGTGCCACTAAAATAGGTACGTAGAAAAATAGTTAGTACAATATTTTCTTCTCCACTGGGACTAAGGGGGAAATGTTGGGATTGTAATATTTTGATTTCATTTCCTGCAGGTAAAGAGAGTTGCTTTGAAAGGATCGTCTCTCGCTTTGGAAAGAAAGTAACGTACGTGGTGATAGGTGACGGTCGAGATGAGGAGTTTGCAGCAAAACAGGTTTGTCTCCTTACGCAGCGTCCACACGGCGGCGTGCGTTGAAGCTTGCCGGCGGGCGTGTCTGAAACTCGACCAACAACCAATCACATGAATCTCCTGCCCCGGACACACAAGCACGCGGTTTGATTGGCTAGAGCTTGTACTGGCATATGATTTGGTTGGCTGACGCTTCCGTCGAAGCTTCAAAAGTTGAACATTACTCAACTTTTGAAGCGAGCAAAGCGAAGCGACGCTCCCACAATGCAGTTCGGCAAAGTGTGACGTCACCCCATTCAAAGTGAATGGGCAGAAGCGTTGAAGCTTCAACGCACGCCGCCGTGTGGACGGGCCGTTATGCCTGCCTTCTTTTGTGTTTGTCGTTTGCCCAGAAAGTTTGGCAAATACAAGTACAGTCGCTGCAAGTCTAGCTTTTTGTGTTAAAGAGTGGGATAGATTATATCTTTTCTGAGATAGATTATATCTTTTCTGAGATAAACACGCACACAATGGAAATGATTTCAAATTTGCTACAAACGTAAAAACTCTAGAATTAACTGACTATGTTTCGTTTTTGTCCCTAACTCAATAAATCATAGGCAATTATAGAATAAAGTCATAACATTTTGGACATACATGGGTATACACTGTTACTTTACTGGCAAAATTACAGTTTTAAGTCTGGTTTTCTTTCTTTATGTGAAACCTTAAATGCTGCTTTCTTGACCGGGAGAGATTATGGATCACAATGGGAATATTTCTAGTGAAAATAAATAAACCTGAAATCCAGTCTGAATATCAGGGCAGACTAACAGCTAGTCTTCTGACCATAATGTACTGCTAAGTGTTTGTTTTTGACACTTTTTTTTATTCTTTGGTTGTTCTTGTCTCCCTGTCTGCAGCACAACATGCCTTTCTGGCGGATCTCCAATCACGGAGACCTCGTGTCCCTGCACCAAGCGCTGGAGCTGGACTTCTTGTAAAGGAGGCAGCGTGTGAATGTCGCACACTAAAAGGGAAAATGTAGTCGTCATCCTGTCGGTCTGTGGAGTGACATTACGTGAGAAAACCCTCCACAAACTCTAATTAGAAGCTCTGCCCTGACTGGATGACTCACTGTGTGATGTGTGATGGTAACGTACTGAGGCGGACTTTGGGTCGGAGCGGACAGTGAGACAGACTGGATGCTGAGTTAAGGTTCCTCAGGCCCAGCACTCCCTCCTCTACGGCAGCTAACCTCACCGCGGCTGAAACTGGCACTGATCTGGACACAGAAGGGAAGACATCCATTTTTTTCCCTCCTTTGGTCACATCTACTTTTTAGGTATCAACATTTTGAATCTCCTTAAAAAAACCAAAGGGCCATTTTTGTTTATTGGCGTTCTCTTATGTTGTTGTTGTAGCTTTTTTATTTAGTCTCTGTGTTACTAAGAATGATATCAAAGAAGTTTAAAAAAAAAAATCTCTTCTGGGTTATTTTGCACTCATTCAAAGACTTGAAATCATCATTTTGCAGAAGTTAATGGCAGTATCAAATAATCCCAACAACCAAAATCTCAGGTGGCCATTCAGTTATTTAAAATGAGGAATTAGATGAGGTTAAAAAAATGTAACTTGATCATGACCTCCCCTCCTGACCCGATCCAACCACACCAAACCACCAGTCAGATGTCCGGCTTCTTCACTCTGTTGCAACACAGACGTGTGGTTCTTCTTTTTACACACAGTGTGTGTGACCTGAGGGCAGTGAGCATGCTGGGAATCAAGAGACGCTGGTCACACTGACAAAGCTGAATGTGCCTCTTCGTAACACTCAGTAATATAATGGTAAAGGGAAGTTAGAAGAGCAGGATCCTCCAAACAAATGTAAAAAAACACACATTTATTTCAGCAAGGACTCATATTTCCCCAGTAGTAGTATTCACAGTATTGGTAAGAAAATGCACGGGTTCTTGAGCATAACGATTAAATTGTGGATAAAAAAATAATTCAATTGATTAGTTGAAAGAAAATGACGCACGTGGTGATAGGTGAGGTCATCAACTCCACCCAAAACGTATTTAAAATGTTCTACAGGAGTTGACTCCTTTTCCTTTAGGCATTGCATTTTAAGTGCAAAATTACCAAAATTGACTCTTTGGGTATTCTTAATTTTGTCTGGTGGCTAGACGCAATATACTAATGATCTGCTTAACATTAGTATAAGCCGCTCAAATCTACAAATTTGGTTAATTAAATGGAAGAATTACATTTTCCTTTTATAGGTTAAGACTTCTTAAACTCTATAAACCATTGAAAAACCTATTAATTACATGAAAAATGCTTTGAAAGAAAGTTAGTTACAGGTCTGTTATCTGATTTTATACTATTACTTGTATATATATCTATATATATATATATATAGATATATATATATATATATATAGATATAAAGCCGGTTGTTGGTGTTCCTCAGGGAACCGTCCTGGGTATCCTTGCAATCCTATTCGGGGTCTAACTTCTGTCAAATACGTTTTAAACAGTGTTTGGTTAAAAATGGCAGAATATGTATTCGATTTAAAATAATGGGGTGACTTGGAGATTGGACAGCTTAATCAGGATAGTGTGACTTTTAACAAACACTCTAAATCATGTTTTCTGTACAGTGAGCATTTTGAAGTCGAGGCAGGGAATTTCGGGGGGATCTCCCCCATGGATGGATTACAGATCTGTGCAAAGAGGCCTGTTTGAAGTTAACATTCACCGAGCTCAGGTAACACTGTGTCCTGTTTTGTTTTGCTCCCGATCCCTATCACAGTCTTTTACCTTCAGAGCGAGACTGATCTGTCGGCTTATTAGATATAGTTATATCTTCACTGATAGGTAACAAGAAATCATTGTGCAAAAATATTATTAAGAATATGTTTCCAACCAATAACTGTTCATGATGTATCTTGAACACATCTTTATCAAGTTTGCATATAATGGAAATACATTTGCAGTTTCTTTTGCCTACTCTGTCAATTTGGTGTAAAGGGAAAGTTTGCCACATATATGTGGATGTCCAATCAGTTTCAACAGGAGAAGTACATTCTTCAGTGCATGCTATATTGACTGTAAAAGCTGAGGTTACCTTCTCACAGGCTTTAGTCAGCCAATCACTGAAAAATGTGTCCTAATCCATAACCTCATCTGCACTCATATTTTGTGATGTCATTTTCGGCGTAACTAGTTTGCATACAAGCCAAATTACATGGAAGTTCTTTGTTATGCAGCCGTGACAGCCGTGACAGGAATCATCACGTTTCCGGATTTTCCTTCCGTGTATCTTTCCCACTGAGTCTTGTGAAATGTTCAGCAAAGCTATTAGGGAATTTCTTCAAATTTGGCAGAAAGATAAACTGGGACTCAAGCATGAACTGGTTATAATGTGGGGGTCAGCTTCACTGTGAACACACAACACATGTTGTCTATAACTCAAGATTCAGTTACACAATTGAATTCAACAGGTTTAGCAAGTAATGGAATGTCATCTAGAGCAAACTGTCTGACTACCCCTAAGGGGAAATGTAAACTGAAAGTATTCTCGGAACTTCTTTCTATAAATCACTTGCAAAGGAATTTAATTTGCCTGCCCATAGCAAATGATGGGCAACCCATACTGTTCAGGATGTGGGTGTAGATCTGCAGAAGCAGGAAGCGTTAGACAAAAGGTCTCTTTCTCCAACATGTACTAAACTGAAATTCAGCTGCAGTTTTTAAACCGACAGCAGCACTGAGATAATCCGTCCGCTCTCTCAGTCTCTGACTCGGATAACGCATTAAGGAGGGTAATAATAACTAAAGAGGTTTAATTTAAAACCGCCTTCTCCAAGTAAAGCATCTCACCCCATGAAGAGAGCAGGATACATAAAGCTGTAAAACCATTTGGGAAAACCGAGGGAAAAAATGACGTGTTAGCCAGTAGAATACCATTTTATTAATTTGACATGTCAGATTCTTTGTCGAAATGATAATATACCAAAACATGTAAATTGCATTCTTCTGTTTCCCAGTTTTTCAAGCATTCATTGTATTAGATAGTTAAAAACTATAGCTGCAAAAAATGATTATTGAAAATGGTGCAGATTATTTTCTTTTGTACTTGATAACTCAACAACTTGTCAATAAAAAAAAAAAAAAAAAGAATCAGCATCTATTTTGAACATCATTTTGGTTAAAATTGTGCAATTAGCTGGTTCCTGATTTGCAAATTGAAATATTTGATGTTTTTCTTTGACTCATATGATTGTAAAGTAAACATATGTTGCTTTTGTTATATTAATCCTTCATATTTCAAAAGCCCAAAAATATTTCAAATAAAAGAGGAATAAGAACAATTGCAAAAGTTCACAGCAACCCAAGTGAATTCAGAATGAGAAAGTGAATTGTGGTACTTCTGCTTTAAGAAATGACTCTGATTGTCAGAAGAGTTAGCAAACGGATCATTCATTCACGCATCTGTCCATTGAGATTTTTAGTTGTCCGACATCTGAAAACCCCAGAATCACTTGTACCGCTTTAGTTTTCATTCACAACCTCTGGAAGGCGCATTGTAACACACGGTGATGACAGTGCAATACATTTTACTTTGCTCATTAACCGTATTTAAGGGATTCTCATTTTGTGGAAAACCCAGAGGGAGATGAGATTACGACTGAACAATTCTGAGCCTGAAGAAGATTTCTTATTTACTGTCATGCAGCTTGACCGTTAAGAATGTGTATTTTTGTCTGTCTTGTGTTTCTGTGTATGTATATTGTGCCTTTATCCATCATCTGTATGCATAATCTCAAAGGGAAATATGTAAGTCTTTTGTTTGATACATTTATCACTGCATTGTTCTATTATCAAAAGTGTTATCTTACTCTTTTTTTTAACTCAAGTGTTTTGATTTGTCCTGTCTGCACTGTATTTGAAAGTCGTCTTTCTAGAAAACTATAATGTCAATTTTTGGGGAGGAAAGGTTTATGTCCGTCACTCATTGTTTAAAGAAAACAAATCTAAGTGAAGGGCTAAAATGGTTTCTTTGCTTGCTGTAAATTCCAGAAATGTTTCCAGGAAAATCAATCTCAACTAAATCTGTTTTTCTTATATTTTCACTCCACGTTCTGCTTTCTTTTTGAATTATGCTTCCTTTTAAAAAGGCGATGCATTTATTTTTATTGCGGTGATACCCACCATAGCTTAGAGACAATCATCTATAGAACATGGTATTTTTTAATGCAGATAACTAAAGTGAAAATATTTGTTCTCAGTCCTGACACGAACATTAAGAACCCATACACATTTGTATTTTTCTGCTCATTGTGTTTTCTGTTTATTTCTATACTCTGTCTGCATGTCATGTCTGTCTTGAAGTATACCATGACCATGTATTCTTCTGTATCCTCTCTTTCTTTTCAATGCCAAATGCTGTTATTATTTTTAATCGTGTGTTTTGTGTTTCCAACATGTATTTCATCTCATCTTCGAGGACTTGTGAGGTCACATGGGGTTATGTAAAGAGCCTGACTGTGATCCTGAAAACTGATCATAATAATCGATGCTAAATGAATTACCATAATCACTATTTCCCCCACATTAGGTGTTTGGGACCTCGACACAGTGCTGTATGGTTTTCCTGTGTTCACTCAATACAGTGTAAATAAACTTTAAACAGTTTCCATCACAAGTTTGTTTATTTTTACATATATAATATGCAATTACATTTGTACATACTATATGTAAATGTACTAACTACAGAAGACAGTGCTGCTGCAATGAAAGACAATTACTGAAAGGCATAACATTAAATAACAGTAGAAAAAGTGCTGACTAAATATTATCAAGAATATTGTATGATCTTATAAAAATGTCAAAGCTCTATACTTTAAACAATATTCAATCTTTCTGCACCAGTTGTACTATTTAAATGCTTTTCTATTATCTTGAGTTTCATCAGAGCATGTTGCAGTTTTATTTTACAAGGCAAGGGTTTGTTTTAAGAGCTTAATAAATCTTAGTAGGGCGATGTGGTCTTCCCTCCAGAGGGAGTTTCTCTCCCAAACACTCTCCCCCCCCCCATTCTGAAACGCCTCCATTGGACTCCTTTGTTTACTTCTATAACATAATGTGATCACTGTAACACTCGCAATTCTATTGGATAGCGATCCAACACATTGTATGTGATAGGCTAAGAGGCGGGACATCTCTAAGCAGTTGATCAATCACAACAGAGCCGGCAAGCTAACCAATCAGAGCAGACAGGGCTCTGGTTTCAGACAGAGGGTGAAAAGAGGTGCTGCAGAGCTTTTTCAACATTTAAGCATGGTACATTTCAGAGTAGAGGCACAAAATAGTCATATGAACCTGCAAATGAACACAATAGGATCTCTTTCAAGTTGAGCCACCTTCCATACAGTCACTTAAATAGGGGAATGCTTTTTTGCATAAAGAGGAAACACATGGAACTAGTAATAACTAGAAATGCACTCAGAGAGCACAGCCCTCTCAAAATGTAATAAATAAATTAAATAATTTGTGTAAATGCCCATGTGATTTGGATTAGCTTTAAAATATAACGCTTTCTACCGTAGCGCATGCTACACACTTCCACCATCTATCGTGAAAATCAGTTTTTAGCAGCTTCATGTGCTTTGTTGCTCTGTTGCTCTCCCCGAGGTTTCTCCCATTTTTCCCTTTGAAATGTGGGTTTTTCTCTGGAAGTTTTTCCTTGTACGATGTGAGGGTCTAAGGACAGAGGGTGTCGTTTTTCTCATACTGATATTCTGAACAAACTGTGCTGTTGTATTTGCTGTAAAGTGTCTTTACTGTAGGGTATTTTTATTATATGTACAGCACTTTGGCTCGACCAAAAATCGTTTAAAAATGTGCTATATAAATAAAACTTGATTTGATTAGATTTGGTACACAGCAGAATGAGGCTACGTGCTTACAAGCAGCAGTCTAGGTTAAACCCATGAGGTTGAATCTCAGGATAATCAGGAAGCAGGTCCTTCTATCCCTCACAACCCCATGATGGTCAAGTCTGCATGACTCAGTCCGGTGGAGGTCAGGTGATGCAGGTCAGGAATAGAAGTTCTCAGCCAACTTCCTCATTCTTTTATTGCAACGTTTGATTTCGGGTGCTAGTTGGGCGGGAATGCCGCGATCTTCATCGTTTAGATTTCTATTCGTAACGTTGTCATCTATGGACGGATCATCTACCACATCTTCAGAAGATATTACACATTTCATTAAATGCTGTTCATCAACCGGGGGCCCTTTAGTGTCATCCCCTTTCAACTCCTCTTTAGACAGGTTTGGATGGCAGCACTGATAATAAATCATTTTTAAAACGAGACCAAGGATATAGACTGCAACAACAGTGACCACAGTGATTACAGCATATGGCAGTTGAACTTCAAACAATGGTGGATCCGTCGTCATCTTCCAGCACCACAAACTGCAGAGGATGGAAATGTCCACCAGTATGTACCCGTGGTAGACCATAGTCTTGTACCTCGTCCTCCCTTTCAACGCGTTAAACCAGTCGAAATACCAAATAAGGGCCACGGTGGCTCGGTAAAGCCACTCTCCGCAGGGGCTACTCATGAAGTCGGTCTTGGATCGCCAGAGGAAGAAGAACAGAACTAGCCAGGAACACAGGAAGTGGGTGAAGATGAAGCAGGGCTGCACGGAGGCAAAGAGGGCGAGGGCAGTGAGGCGAGAGCAGATGAGGAGCAGGTTCCACAGGAAGTACACCACCGATGAGATAAACTGCTGCTTCTCCTTGTCGGGCAGGAAGGAGCGCATGGAGCGATGGTACATGGTCACACTGAGGGCAATGGCTGACAATGAACCGACCGCCTTCAACACTGTTGGGAAGGAAAGAAGTTCATCATCAGAAATGCTTAAACTGACTGTTAATCAACATGTCTCCTCTGGGTAAAGAATAGAAAGTACTACCAGCTGGGGTGGGCAGTTTAGTTTTGGGAATAGGGAAATAGGGAATGGAGGATCTTTGGAGGATACTAGAAAATGCAACCCACTGACTTAAGCTATACGGCTAGCAATATAGTGCAACTTTTTCACTTTAAACCTTTCAAATATGACTGGTAGGCCCTGTTGTGTCATTCGCTTTCACAGCAAACAGCAAAACAGCTACAATTTACTATTTTCCAACATGGAAACTTTACGAGGGAGGCGTAGCAAAGAGGAGCAAGAGATGCTAAATGTGTTAGCTGGCAGCCATGAGCTGACTGTTCACTGCGTGTGTCCAAAAGGATTGCTGAACTCCAGTTACAAAACCACCGCACAGGTAATATGATTTAAAACAGGAAAGCTTGCAGTATACATACATTTAAGTAGCCTACATTAGATTACATGCCGTCCGATAACTTCAGCCTACTTTCAGCTACAGAAACCATTCAAATGTCAAAATATTCAGCCTTTTCAGCACATGATGGGAAACTTTCAACTTTTTCAAAATATGTTATACTTTTTGAAATATTCAGCTTTTTAAACTCTTTTTTTAACATGTAACTCAATGGGAGGAACCTTCAAATCCTCTTTTACCTACACCTTGTGCCAAATGCTTCTCCTTCCACATACGTTCAGCTAGAGACTTCATTCCAACTTTAAAATGATCACAAGACCCTCAGCTATAAAACTTGTTCTTCCGAATTTTCATATCTTTTATACTTTTTGAGATATTTAACTTAGTTTGGAGCTTGGTAAAGAGGCCTTCTTCAGATTTTAACATTAGTGTGAACTCAAACTTCACATGTGTGCTAACAGTCCAGCCGTGAAAACATCTATGTGACAGTTTTGAGATTTCTTCAAATGCCGTTGCCATGGCAACACAATGCTCACCATGAAACACGGTTTTCTCATAACTTCAGGGGAAATGCTCCAAACTGCCCAAAACTTCACAGGTTTGGTAACGATACAGCCATCAACCCATCTAAGCGTATTATGGGGTTTCATCAAATGCCGTTACCATGGCGACAGATCACTCGCCATCAAGTTAGTTAAAAGGTTCGCAGTTAAAATATTCTGATGCTTTTCAAAGCCTTTTTACTTTCTTTTCTTCTCTTATCACACATGCATTCACTACTACTTACATCTGATATGTAACTCCTTCAGCCTACTTTCAGCTACAGAAACCATTCAACTATTACATTATTCAGCTATTTCAGGACATTGAGGCTATACATGTTGTTTATACCTTTTTTAAACCTTTTCTTTTAAATATTAAGCTTCTTCACTATTTTTCCTACTCTTCCAGTTTCACATTTCACTTCAAGTCATTGCAATGCATTTGAGCTGTAACAATTTTGATTCAAATCATTTCACTTTTCTGCATTTCTCCGCTAAGTTCAGCAACACACTTACTTGGTTTTTGTAGCTAAAAGCTGCTACAGCATATTCAACTAATAACATATTCAGCTTTTTCTGCATTTTCAGCTAAATTCAGCAACAAATACACAGTTTACAGCATTCACACGCATTTTCTGCAGGAAATGCATTTTCTAGTTGTTATTGAGTCTCTAGATCAAAATGTCCTGTGTGGTTAACTTGACATGGGCCTTCGTAGATTTAAAGGTGGCACTAACTCCTAAAACCTCCTAAACTCTTAACAAAATGTGGCAACTTCAGTAACAATGATTGGTCAATTCTTCTTTTAATACAAAAGAACAGATGTCATTAGTTCACTTTTATTTGGTAGATGTACGCTCCTCTGCCTTTGTGAAGACCTTCTCTCTGTTCGAGCGTACTTTATATATTATGATTGGAAAACAGTCAAAGTGTTTTTGGTAGATGCCTGAAAGATCTGTGGTTAACTCAAGCTTAACAGATTTTGACGTTTTGTTCTACGGAATAAAAAACGCCAGAAAATACCACACTTGTGAATGTCTAAAGCTTCTATGTGTCATAAAAATGGCGGTTGCAAACAAGTCACTAAATTAGACTACTCAACATCATCATGCCAACATTAGCTGTCTTTAGCTTAGTGCTGGCGATGCGCAGCCATGCTACGATGTAGTTTGTTTATAGCCTAATGTTAGCTTTTTACTTCTGGTGATTGCATTTACAGTTTAAAAATTATAAAAGTGATGTTGATATGTGGAGATTATCCTGCTGAACAATACGTACAAATATCAATTCAAGGGGAAAATTCCCTTGAATTGCACTGGAAAATTCCAGTGCTCTTCATCATGGGACCCTTGCGATGCTAACTTGCGATGCTAACTCCCAGGTGGTCCTACAAATATATACATCACTGCACCACTCTACTGTATGTGTAATGAATAACAGTTGATTTAATTCAAATCATTACAATCATACAAATCATATTTTGTAAGCAGGAAAGATATTTTGTATGTATAATATGAATCTGAATTATAGCTGTATAGTGTCAAAGTTGACATGTTTCTCAAAAATGTAGTTGATGAGAAAGGAATTATTAATTTAGGTGAAAAACATTGTTCTTAGTTATGTTCCACCACTGAATTTGGTTGAACTGACCCTTTGAAGAGAGGAGGTTTTCAGTTTGGAGTGTCAAAATATTAAATACATTTGCATTTTTACTTCATAAATCTTGAGCCTAACACTGGGCACCTGTGATGTGGTCGAGTTGCCCTTGCTGCAGTATGATGGTGATCATGAGGACGAGTTGAGGCGCGCTCTCTGAAAACGTCTCTATGAGCCGCAGCATGCTCAGGTCATGGATCATGTACACTGCGAAGCCCTCTGAATCGTTGACCTGTGAGTTTGCACTGCATAAAGACATCTCCACCACACCTGCATGCCTGAGAAGATAAGAGTGTGGGATTTAGAATACAGTTTTAAACCATTGTTCTGACAACATGTTAAACTCAATTACCGGTTATATTTCAGTCATCATTAGTAGTCATATCAGCATTAAATTATGAGCACTTACTATGCTCTTTTTCAGATTTCAAAACTGCATGTAGTGTCTCTACTGGGACATGTCTCCATGCTTTAATGTTCAGAAAGCTCTATTTGTCTCATACTGCCAGTGTTACAGCACCTATTTTCACCCTCTGTCTGAAACCAGAGCTTAGTCTCTGTTTTGATTGGTTAACCGCTTCGAGATGTTCCTTCCTCTGGCCTATCATGTGCAATGTGTTGGATATCTAGCCAATAGAAATGAGTGTTACATAGTGATGTCACTATGTTACAGAAGTAAGCAAGGACTAAAATGGAGGCGTTCAGGCAGCAGGGGGGAGTGTGTGGGAGAGAAACTCCCTCTGGAGGGAACACAGGGATTGTATCCTTTGCAGACCATTTACATGCACTAAAACCTATATAACACACTACAGGAAATGGAAACCCCGAAAAGCATAATAGGGCATAATAGGGCCTCTTAAAAGTAGTACTCTTTTAAGACATCACTTTTGACTTATTTGTTGGTGTTTGGAACAAGGTGTTCCAAAATAAAAGAGCACTTTGTTGCAATTGTTTAACAAAGTGCTCTAAACAAAGTGCTGTATTAGCTACTGTACTGTACACAAGGACACCTGAATTACTCATGTTTGTAATATTCCATTAGCCATATTCAGAGGTAATAAAGCAATGTTATTGATTGAGTAAATCATAGCAGGAGAATACTTGATTCTCCAAATATGTCCTTCTGTGTGTATATAAGTAACACACTGTTCACACCAGTGACACCACCCTAGGTAGGAAGTGGGTTAAAGTGCAGTACTGTTGTTCCAATGAAGTATATAACCAGCACTGCATTTCCTGGAAATGGAATCTTTACCAATGAATAGGCGAGGTTGGAGATGTCAGTTAGAGATATTCAAACAGAAACCACTACCTTCCCAGTCTTCAGATTCTTTACTAATACCAGACTGTAGGAATACTCAAATTTCAAGTAAAGGTACTGCATCAAGAATGGTACTCAAGTAGACCGATTTAAGTACAATAAGGAAAATATACATAAAGTATCAGGAGTAAAAGTACCCAATGCAGTAAAAACTAAAATAATATATTGTATATTTTAAAGCAAAAGCAGCAAATATTCACATTTAAGAAGCTGGAACTGTGAAATATTTTTGAACAAAAAACTTCTTGCCAAACACATTTCTGTTAACCCACTCACGGTTTTAGTTACTTAAATGACATATATAAAGTTAGTTCCCTGCATTCACACCCAACTTATCACACGCACAGCAACAGAAGCAAATAGAACTGAGGCACTTTAAAACACACACCAGTAAATGTTTACACAACCTGAAGTAGATTCCCAGCTGGAGTACATGGAGTAGTTTGATGTAGCTGAGGCTCAGGCACTTCTCCATCTTTGTCCGGTTCATGGACTTCTCCTCCTGATCCCTCTCAGATTCCTCGTACCTGTACCACAGCCAGCTGAACGCCTGGACCAGCAGGGAGGAGCCCACCAGCAGCAGGATCAGGACGGAGAGGCTCACATAAGATTTTTCCTGGTAGAAACTCACCACGGCATATACATCCAGCCCTATGTCCACCACTAAGAACACCAGGCCCAAAAGCATGAGGAAGATGTCCAGGGGGGAGAACTTGAACTTACCCATAGTGTCTGAAAACTAAAGATCACAAAACTAGAGCGGCTGCATACTTTAGGACAGCTGTTTGACAACTGAAAGTAAAGAGCAACGGTTCAATGTTCAAACGCCCTGTAACCCCTCCCACAGGACCAGCCCTCCTCTAGGATTACATACCATTTTAAAGGCATACTGTAGTTATTAAGCATGACTGCTTCATACATACAGCTCACAGTGAAAGCTAGCACTATCAGATCTAAAGTACTCCTATGTTTCTGTTACATTACTTTACTGTTAAAATAATACAACTAGATATTAATACAATTATATTAGGGATATTAATAATGACAAATAAATAAAAAATAAAAAAATCCAACCCCCATTTTAAGGTGTCTTTTATTTAATGAAATATGAGTCTCTTAAAATTGTAAATAAGAAATAACAATTTGTTCTAGCTTTATTAATTGAAATGGTATGGCTGTTTTTTTACATTCTTAAAAAGACATTTTCAAAACACATCTTCAAGTTAGTAAGAAATTAGGGAAAGCTTGTTTTTCTTGTTTTTTTTTTATCTGTCACCAAAAGCAATCTTGTTATTAATAGAAATTATAATACCTTTTGAGGTAGCTAATGTCCTATCTTTAACAATGGAAATAGTATAGGTGATTTAACAAACAGGAAACGCATGTCAATAAATAACAATTATTTAAAAAGTCTGTCACCAAAATGATTATTTTTTAATTCCCTTCTGATGTAGTATTTGGTGCCATTTTCATGAATTGGAATGTTACGGCTAATTGTTTTTTTACATGCTTACTAAAGAAAAGTCAAGCAAATGAAAAACAGATAGTACAACATTGTTACCACTTTAATAATTGCACATGGCAAATGAGGTAAAACATTAACGACCAGTTCAGACCTTGACTTTTGGTTTGTTTTTGTAGGATCTGCAACATGATGAAGTATGAACATTCACAGAAACGTAGTGAAAAGAGCATGTGTGTAAAACAAACCGACACTCAGGACCCCCGAGAACATTTCAATAGAACACAAACAAAGATACCGACATTAAATAAGCTAAACAAACGTAACACTAACATGATGTCACCTGTACTTCAATATGCACTAACAACTCTTCTTCGTGACATGTGAAGGATTAACACTTGTTTGACACTTTTAGTATAAACTTTGCCTAAAAACAAGTAGAGTGGTCTTAATCTGCTGTTTCGCACAGCATAGAGATTATAAAACAAGATTCAAATCTACATTCAAAGTCCTTCAAATAGTATCCGGACCACCCACCCACCCACACACACACACACACACACACACACACACACACACACACACACACACACACACACACACACACACACACACACACACACACACACACACACACACACACACACACACACACACACACACACACACACACACACACACAGACACACACACACACACACACACACACACACACACACACACACACACACACACACACACACACACACACACACACACACACACACACACACACACACACACACACACACACACACACACACACACACACACACACACACACACACACACACACACACACACACACACACACACACACACACACACACACACACACACACACACACACACACACACACACACACACACACACACACCTCAAATCACTTCTGGTCATTTCAATTTAGAGATTAGATACAAAAGGTGAGAAAATATCTAGCCGTCTGGGGCTTTCAGAAATATTATCATTGTTTTTTAAATGTTATATTTTGTTACAAATAAAATAGAAACAGTTTGTAAAAAAAAAATAGAACAAATGAAATGTTCCTAAGATGTATTTTGGAAATATAGGGTAGTAAAAAGCATTTACAAGTCATCCCAGTAACATTTACACATTTCCTCAATGTGTAAATATACAATCAATCTATCAAATCAAAAGAAGCCTTCACTTTTAGAAGTGACCTTATAAAATGACCCCCAGTTTCAAGTACAGTTGAGAAATATGACCATGAGATTATAACACTCAGAGTTAATACTGTGGTCAATTCTAGAGCGTGTTTATCACACTGTAGCAAGGTTGCGAATCACTGAGAAGGGCTTGGCAACAGTTGTTTTATATGGTATTTGCATCAATGTGATGAAGTCTGGATTAGTACAAATAAATACAAATTGCTATATCGCATTATATATTCTGATGAATGTACCGATATGAAAAGGATAGAGTGCTGCAGGAATAAGTCTTCAAAAACAGGAATGAGTCAGCATTTCTGTACCATGTACCCCTCGTGGTGTTGCTTATGGATTTTGAATTAGTTTAAGGTTAGTTTAGAGGAAATAAGCTCGATAGCGTTTGTTCATAAAAGACATCTTCGTAACAAAGCGCCCCAAAATATCAGATCAGGTTATCTACTGTACACGGGGAAACCAGGTCTACTCATGTCTGAGTCACACATTATAAAAGGCTACTGTTCCAACTAAATCCCTTTATATGTAAATAGAAATATGTTCATGCTGCTGCTGTCAGAGACATCCGAGAGTAATGACCAGGTTATTCAAACAAAAATAATTAATCATTTACAATGGAGGACTTTTCAATGGCATCAGTAGTTTATAGGGTTTTTGCATCAATGTGATGAAATATCTGGATTAGTAAAAAAGGTATTTAAAAAAAAGATAGGTGTGTGCTAACAAGATGCTAATTAAGGCTTCAGACATTTTAAGGGACACTTGAACGTCATTATGTGATCACAGTCGTGGTGATGCTGAAGTCATGTGACTGTAGTGTAGTTGGTTTAAAGCTTTTTACACCGTTTATAACGTTAGCATTTACGCTTAAATGCTTGAGGACGAGATCATTTTTACGGAGAATATCTTGCTGGGAGAACGAGTTAGCATGATAAACTTGTTTGCCACATAGCAAACATAGCCGTTGGCCCTTGCAGAATGATGACCTCCAAAATACTTGATCCCTGCAGCACTCTATTGCTTACTCCTAGTTTCAAGTATTGCAATTGATCTAGTATTTTCTAATTATTCTGAGCACCTGGTGAGATTGCAGCACAAATAGAAAACAGTAGAGATTATTACTTCCTATCACTACACCATCAGTTCACAGATGGTTGTGACAAACAAAAAGTCTGATATCACAGAGGTGATGGCTCAGCTCTTTTAGGGCTATCAGGGTTTTTAACAGCCCCTTTCTCTGAGTAAAAATGAGCTGCATGGCAGGCCATCCGTTTGTTGTGTAGCTTGGAGGACAGGGCGCCGTCCTGGATGGGAAATTCTCTCAAGGGCACTTTTGCATCAGGCAGATCATCAGGCAGCCCTGGCTCCCTCACCAGGGGCCTCCACAGCTTGGGGTGGAAGCAGCAGTAGTAGAGGGTCTTCAGGAGCAGTCCCAGGAGGTAGATGAAAGGCAAAGCGATGAGCAGAGCCAGGGCGTACGACTCCGTCTGGACAGGGTCTCTGTAACACCACCAGGTGGCCAGCAGGATGCCTCCGTCAGTGGTGATGAAGGTGTGGTAGATGATGCTCCTGCCTCTGGTGCGTCCCTCTGCCACACTGAACCAGCTGAAGTACCAGATGAGCCCCACAGTGGAGCGGTACAGCCACTCCCCAGCCGGGCTGTCCATAAAGTGGGTCTCCTGCTGCCAGGCCCAGCACACGAAGACGAACCACTGCATCAGGAAGTGAGCGCCGATGTACCCCGACAGGACCGAGGCGAAGAGGGCGAGGGCCGCCACACGCGGGGCGATTAGCAGCAGGTTCCACAGGAAGTAGATTAAAGAGGAACACCAGCCCTGCTTGGCCTTGTCTGGGAGGAAGGAGCGCAGCGAGCGGTGGTAATCCACCACCATCCAGGCGATGGAGGTGGTGGAGGCAGCAATGCTCACAACTGCAAAAAGAAGAAGGTAAAACAATCAGTGGAGCAACCAAGAGGAAGTTAACTCATATGTTTGTTGTTTGTTGACCTGCCACAACACAGATAGTGTGTGTTATGAGCGTAACTGTATCACTTTATTTGATATCACAGAAAAGAAAAGAAATTGACACAATCCATTACCCTAACCTGTCTGTCCACAACTGTCATTGAAATAGAGGCTACATTGAGTGTCCGGTTGTAACTAGCATTTTACACTGGAATTATAATTAATTTGTTATTCTTAATACTAAGATTTCAATCTTTTGTAAGGCAGCAACCATTTTTGTTTTTTAATTATTGTGCCAATTAAACATTTTTGGTCTGTAAAATGTCAGAATTTTTATCAAATATAAAGGGAAAAGCAGGACATCTCAATATTTGAGAGGCGGAAAACATTACTTCATAACAACTATTCACATTTTTTTTTGTTGATTGACATTATCATTAGTTGACTCATTAGGCGCGTTCAAACCGGAGTACTTTTCCCCGTACTTTTCACGTTTAGTTCCGTTAGTACCGCTTATGTCGCGTTCACACCAAAAAGAGTACTTAGTGCCGGGAACTTTTAGTGCCTGCTGAGAGGTGGTACTCTCCTGGGGGAAAAAAGTGCCCCAGTTCTGATTGAGGCGAATTGCAAACCACGCCCCGTAAAACTCTGAAATGTTTTGTAGAGCTGCCATTTTATTATCCTCGCATTAGCATTAGCATTAGCCCAGCGCACAAACGCAGAGAGACTAACTTATGGCAATACAAAAGAAAACATGAGAGCGGTGGAGATGAGGAGGTGTCGGCGTTCTGGCGATTTACTCTGAAGGCTTCAGTAGAAGCTGCTGGGAGTCCCAGCAGCTTCTACTGAAGCCAGTCCCCAACTCCGGGGACTCCAGGTGGCAGTATACGCCGTGAAGTTGTTTGCGGCCTGCCAGTAAACCCAAAGCAGAAGAAGAAGTGACGTCAGCGGCTCATTTGCGTAATCTTCCCTCAGGGAACCTATTCCGGTGTGAACGCGATCGGCTCTTAGTTCCATAGGGGAACTAAGTGCTGGGAACTAAGTACGGCAAAGTACTTGGTGTGAACGCGGCTATTGTTGTAGCTCCAAACTTTTGCACAAAGTAGAACTTTAAGTGTGATTTGGAGTCAAT